AGAGCGGTTGAAAACTTAACAACCAGGGAATGTCCCTGGGATCTGTGTCACAGAATTGTGGAGCAGAGGGGGAAGGCTCTCTTTCTCTCTCTCTCTCTCCCTCTCCCCCCCACCTCTCATGGGTCGCCTGCTATACTGATGACTGGGTGGGACTCCAGAGGGGGCCCTCCAGAGATGACTTCAGGGGCCAGACAGGCAGATATTCCTAATTCATTTACTTCCTTTATTAACTTTTCTCCCTAGTGGTGACTCAAAGTGGCTTACGACATTCTCTCCTCCATTTTATCCTCACAACAACCCTGTGAGGTTGGTATACTGCGTGTGCGTGACTGTCTCAGGGTCACCCTGCCAGCTTCCTGGCAAAGTGGGGATTCCAATCTGGGCCTCCCAGATCCTGGTCCAACATTCTTGCTACTAATCCTTGCACTGGCTCCCAGGGTCAGACTTCCGCTGTGTCCTCAAGAAGGAGTGTGCGGCTGTGGGCGTAACCGCCATGGGTCCCGGGGCAGGTTTCCCAAGTCTGTCTGGGGAAATTCCCGGATATGTTCGGGTTAGAGCCTTGGGGAAAATGGGGTTTGGGGAAGGGAGGGACCTCATCAGAGTATAAAGCCACAGAGTCTGCCCCCTCCCAAGCAGCCGTTTTCTCCAGGGGAACTGATCCCTGCAATCTGGAGAGCAGTTGTGATTCTGTCAGATCTCCAGGCTCCACATGGAGGCTGGCAACCCTTCTTGCTGGGCACCTGCACAGTTTGGCCTCTGAGAAGACTGGGCCAAGGCCTGGACTCCAGACCCACACATCACCAGGAGGCAGTTCAAATTGGCGCTTATTTCCCCAACTTGCCCCCGTGGCTCTTTCCCGGCCTCCCTCTCCTGCTCTGCCCAGCTCTCTTAAACCCAAGGACACGCCCTGTCTTCCCACAGCCACAGATGCCGCTAGCCAGCCGCACCCCACAGAGTGGGTACCCACGGAGTGGGTAGCAGGCCAGACCCTCCCTATTAAGGGAAACCTGCTCCCTCCCGGGGCCCATCAGGTAGTCAGGGCCTTCTTTGCACTGTCAGACCATGGTTCCCCTCAGCCACCAAGTGACAGAATGAGGTATCATCTGTCTATGGTTGATAATAAAGCCCAGATCTCCAGACGGCCTTCCATAGATCACTTCAAGACTTCTAAGGCTCTAATCAGCCATAGAGTCTCTTTTTGCCCGACATCATGGCTCATGGTCACCCTCCAAAGCATCCATTTTCTCCAGGGGGATTGAATCTCTGTAGTCTGGAGATGACCCATAATACCAGGAGATCCCCAGGCCTCACCTGGAGGCTGGCATCCCTAGACCGTCACCTTGAAGGTTAACTAGACTGCTCCAAGCCCAAGGGCTTTATGACAAAGGCATGCAATGAGCCAGTAGCCTAGTGGGTCGGTGCCTGAAAAACCGACAGCATTTATAAAAAAATTTTTAAAAAGCCTAGGTTCTCTGACCACAGATCTCCCAGAGTTCATTATCGTTATGTGGATTCATCATAGTGCTTCATCCTCCTTTGCATGCTGGACCAACTGCTCCATCAAGCGTGACACTGCAAGGGTTAAGGTCTTCTGCACCTGCCCCCTCACACAGTTTGGACACAGAGGACAGGAAGTTGTGCAGGAAGCCGGCTGTGAAGCAAGGAACAGGCAGAGTTTGCCTCGAACCTGACATCTCACAGAGCCAATTCACACTGCTAATCTGGGGTGTGAAGAACATGTGTTGCGTGGATTCACCTCACTATAAAATGTCTGAATGACTGGTATGCCATGACTACGAATTTGGGCTAAGATACCCTGACTCTTAATTTGAGAGGAGAGCTGCAGCAGAAGACCTAGATTTGAATTCAGTAGCACCTTAGAAAACAACAGGCTTTTTTTTGGGGGGGGGTATAAGCTTTCAAAAGTCAAAGCTCCCTTCATCAGATACTTTTAACAGCCCCTTTTTTTCTTCTCCTGCCAAAGAAGAGACCAAAATGGCTCCATTGCTTTTGGCATCTTTCTGACTATGTGGTTACTGGATTAGACAGGATGAGAAAAAATAGAGGGCTCTGTGAGAGGCAAAGAGGCAGCTGTGTATGCATGTTGCTTGCACAGTTCAAGATTCCAAATAAATGCACATCAACACGATAAGCCAGCAAGTTTTGGCAAGCACAGCCGCAGATTCAGGCGACGTGACACAGCTAAGAGATTCCAGTTCGTAAAATGGCAACGACGTCCCAAGCAGGATTACGCCATCCTGAGTCTATTGATTTCAATGGATGTTGAAGAGTGTAACTCTGCTTAGGATGGCACTACTGGAATTCCCAGTTTGGCATTTTCAAAACTGCCAGAGAGGTGCAAAGTAGCGACGGGGTTTCTGGGGGGAAATAAGAGTCCCCGTCCTTTCCCAAGACCCCACCTTTCTCTTAAACAGGACTAGCGGACAGAGCCTTTACTCACTGAGGCAGGCAGGGCGCCAGGGAACAGGGCTCCTGCGTGGCAAGGGGGCGCGGGGTTTTCGGACAACGCAGGTCGCTGGTCATTTCACCTCTTGTCTGGTCAAAGCAGGAGTGATTGACTTGCAGGATCCCTGGGAAAGGAGTCACCAAGAGAAGATCAAACATCCCATTGCCGAGATCCCCAAAGAGGTAAAGGGAGTTTGGAAAGAAACCACAACCATCAAATGTCAGGGTAGCATTCAGTGTTCCCTCTAGGCTGAGTTAGTGTGAGCTAGCTCACAGTTTTTTAGCCTCCGGCTCACAGCTTTTGTCTCCACTCAGGAAGGAGGGCTCCAGAGGAAACTAATTTATGCAGGAGCCAAATCGCTCGCTCACAACTTTCAACACCAGTAGCCCACAAAGTAGAATTTTTGCTCACAAGACTCCACAGCTTAGAGGGAGCACGGGTAGCATTTGTATACTACTTGCATTGGTTCAGAAGCATGGTCACCATAGCTGGTGCAAGCAGACCTTTTCCTAGTTGGGCTATGGGAATAACTTCTGGAAGAATGCATCCAAGTGGTAGCAAAGAGGCGGCGGTGGCCAGGGCGCATGGCATGAGCTTTTGGCGGGGGGAGAGGGCTTTTGGCGGGGGGAGGGCGGCTCATTTTGGCGCCCCCATGATGGCCCCGCCCTAGGCGAAAGTCAAGTTCACCTACTGAGTGAGCCGGGCCTGGCTATACTAAGGGTGGTGGGAGGGCTCCTCAGGCTGGGGAGGGACGCTTCCCCTCCATTGTGTCTGCCATCCCTTCCAAGCCGGTTTACTTGTTGTGCTGACAGCTGGCACTAAAATGAGGCGAGGCAAGGCAAGGTGGGGGGCAGCCTTGGGCAGTGGGTGGGGGGCAGCCTCCTCCTCTACCACCTCCCCCCCTAGCTGCCATCCAAGCGGGAGCTGGGGAACCAGATGTTCCTCCCTCCCTCAATCCCCAAGATGCCTGAGGAAGTGATGCCACGTGGAGGGTGGTGCTCCTTGCTGAGCCATCACTGGCCATATGAATCCTGTGGACTTCGGGGGATCTCATTCCACAAGCGATTACTGACGACCCTCACAAAACTACAACTCCCAGGAATCCTTGGGCATGCCACAACAGATACACAGCTTTGAAAGCATCTTAAACTGACGCTGCACACCTGTATTTTCCTTGCGTGTAATTTCTTTCCTGGGGTAACAGACACGGCACTCGAGGGCAGCAACACGCCTCACCTTCCCCACAGGTCACAGAGCAGGGCCCGAGCCGGGAAGCCCGTTTCTCGCTGGGCTGAAAGTAGCTGAAGACGATGTCTGGGCTGGTGATGCTCCCGTATTCCTCCCCGTACCTCCTATAAACCTGGAGGGAAAAGAAGCCTGAAAGAAGCTGTGCCAGATGACTGTTGTCCAGCTTGATTCATGGACAGGTGAGCTCCTAAGATGCCGTGGCGTCGGGGCGGCCGGAAGCGGGGGGCGGGGCTTCGTCATGTGCCCCGCCCCCCGTACCTCACCCGGAGGAACTGCGATCCCCCCCAAAATGACCTCTGAGATCACTCACCTTACAGCAAGAGGTACGCCCAGCAACATGCCTGGGTCTTTGTTGTGAGTACGGCAAGCATGTAAATTACAGAATCTTTGCCTTCATTTTATCCTTTATCAAGACACCACTAGTCACGCCTTCAAAACTAGCTGACTTAAAAGGTATGGATGATAGTAACACCCATTAATTCTACATGGGAAATCCTCAAAAAAGGAGAGCAATGGCCTGCGCCCAGCAAATGTCTCTTACTCCAACCCCCCCAAAATGACCTCTGAGATCACTCACCTTACAGCAAGAGGTACGCCCAGCAACATGCCTGGGTCTTTGTTGTGAGTACGGCAAGCATGTATATTAGAGGATCTTTGCCTTCATTTTATCCTTTATCAAGACACCACTAGTCATGCCTTCAAAACTAGCTAACTTAAAAGGTATGGATGATAGTAACGCCCATTAATTCTACACAGGAAATCCTCAAAAAAAAGAGAGCAATGGCATGCGTCCAGCAAATGTCTCTTACTCCAACGTAAGCAGGATTGCAAGGTTAGGGGCTTCCCCCAAGAAGAGGCTGGTCATCAATTCAGACTCTACTTTTTATAGGCTTTGAGACTCGTTATCTACCAATAACTGTCACACTCGATAGGGTGCACATTCTTAGCCAATTAACTATAGCTTCAAACACCATGCGAAGTTATACTCAGATGTTCCCTAAAATGAGGAACTGTCAATATATTCTTGTTACTTTTGATCATAAACATTTCAGAAATACTAAGTGTCTCGTACATAATATTATCTGTTGCCCCACCACCACCAACACACCCCATCTTTGGAGTATACCTGCACTTCTGTCCTCACTGGGACACTCCATTCTCAGACACTTCTTGCACCTGGACCTCAATACATGTGAGCTGGGCTTTCCCCATATTCCTTTGTCCCTCTACAAAGCTTATTCTATTCTGGGTTCCCTTGTCCTTATTCAACAGGTCCCAGCACTGGGCTAAGGTCTAAAATACATGTTATATGTAACAAGTTGGGTCACGGGCAATGTTCCCTCTAAGCTGAGTTAGTGTGAGCTAGCTCACACTAACTCAGCTTAGAGGGAACACTGGTCACGGGTGCCCGACCCAGCCTCAGTTACAGGTTCGCGTGGGGACCAGCCTTTTCAGACCTCTCAGTCCCTCCACGTGGATCCAAACGCTGCTGGGGGGGGGAGGAGGAACTGCAGGCTCCCCTTCCACCCTGTTTTTGCCATCCCAGGGCACGAGGAGCTCGAAGAAGGGGCAAACAGCCCCCCCCCCCGGCAGTCATTTTCAGTGGCACAAACGGTGTGGGAGGGAAGCCCAATACCCATCCTTCCCCCTTGCAGTGTTTGGAGCCAGGCAGAGCGACTGAGAAGTTTTTAAAGGTTAGTCCCCACATGAGCTTATGAATGCAAAACTGAATTAGCCAAGAGGGCCTTTTCTGCACAGTTAACAGGGTTGCAGTGTACCAAAAGGTTCACAAACATAGATAAATTATTAGGGGCTGTGGTCTATAGTGCTGTGTTGTTGTTCAGTTGCACAGTCGAGTCCGACTCTTCGCGACCCCATGGACTAGATCCTGCCAGGCCCTCCTGTATTCCGCTGTCCTCTGAAGTTTGCTCAGTTTCATGTTCGCTGCATCTCTGACACTGTCTCACCATCTCATCCTTTGCCGTCCCCATCTTCTGTGACCTTCAGTCTTTCCCAGCATCAGGGTCTTCTCCAGGGAGTGCTCCCTTCTCATTGGGTGGCCAAAGTATAGGACCCCTAACCTGGACAGCCCAGGCTAGCTGATCTTGTCAGATCTGGGACGCTAAGCAGGGTCGGCCCTGGCTAATGCGTGGGTGGGAGACCACCAAGGAACACCAGCATTGCTATGAAGGGCCAGGCAGTGGCAAAGCCCCCTTGAACATCTCTTGCCTGGAAAACCCTACAGGTCAGTTGTCACTTGAGGCCAAAAAGAGAGAGAGTAGGATCCTATTATGTAAGTTTTGCACGGCTTAATGAGTCATGTTAATACTTAGGCTCTGCTTCAGTCCTGTCTTTTAGATTTCTGGTTGGTTCCAGACTGCTACAATCCCAATGTCCCATTCTGTGGATTTATTGACTCGCTCTGTGTAACCCACCTTGAGCCCCTGTGAGGAAGATGGACCATAAATAACCTAAACAAATAAGATATATATAACGTTTATTTTGGCCCAAAGAAACAAGACCAGCCTGGAGTCTGGCCTAGAGAAGCAGGAAGATATTTGCATAGACCTGCCTCCAAAGATATCTAGTAATCTCTCCTCTGAAGGAGAAGCCCGTCGCTGGCCCAGCCCTGCCAACTTGCCCATCTGATGTCTCCTGGGCTAGTTCTGCCTGCCTCAACGTCCCTGCTCCACGTGCGTGGCTCCAGTCTGCTGTCTCACCTGTATCTCTACATCCTCCTGCACTGGTCCATCCATGCAAACTTCCTCCAAGCTAGGCAGGTTGTCCTCCGTAAGAAAGACCGTGTATTCTAGCCGGCTGTCCTCCAGGACAGAGGGGTATGTGACATTCAAAGAAATAGTGCCGGACCCAGCCACCACGTACTGCCCTTGGATCTTCACAGCTAGAATAAAGGAACGGTCATGTCTCATCATTCCTCTGCCTATGGAACTTGCTGGGAATAAGAGAATGTTAATGCAGAGCTTAGCCAATGCAACTTGCGGGACACGGCTGCCTGCCATGAGACCTGCCGTTCGCGGGGACTCTGCCTTTTGGGGCGTTCCTTTCTTTCTTCTGCACAACCCCTTTCCACTGAATGGTAGTCGTGTGAGAGCACCAGTTCTCTGATGTGCCTGCCCCCTACTGCTGCGCTTACCCAAGTGAGTGAAGAGTGGTTTCCGGTTAACCACACGGACTGTGGTAGCATTACGAGGAAGCACCAGAAAGGTCGCATATCCTAGGAAGGGGAAAACAGAGAGGAGTTCTGGTCACAGTCATGCCATGAAGATCTGGGAAGAGAAAAGCAGAGGACGGGGGTTCCGCCCAGCTCTTGGGGCCGGAACCATTTACGGAAATTGGCCTGCGTGCCATTTACCAGATTTGGGGACCACCTTAAAGGGTCTTGGTGTGAGGGCTGATGGGAACACGCCAGCTCAGGGACTAACAACACTTGCCCTCCCTGCCAGATGGCAGGGGAGACCACAAAGGGGCAGTCGTCTATGTGATCCCTGGTAACCTGCCATTCCGCAATCTCCACCCATGCCGGCTGACTGGGTGATGGGTACATTGACTGGCACGGGGTCAACTGATGGACTGGATCCGATGGACCCATGCTGTGCCAATGCTTATTACAGCTGTAACCAATAAAGTTGTGGCCAACTTTATCCACTTTCCCCCCCAAAAGATTCTGTTGCCCCCCCCCCCCCCGCGCCCACCATTTTTCAAAAATAAATGAATTTTTGGAAGAATGAAAAACACAAATAATCAAGAAACTCTCAAAGTACGAGGCTGGGTGCAGTTTGGCGCCCCTAAGGGCCGGCCCACTCTAGGCGATCGCCTAGTTCGCCTAGTGAGTGAGCCGGCCCTGGCTGTAACCAATAAAGTTGTGGCCAATTTTATCCACTTTTCCCCCCAAAAGATTCTGTTGCATGTGGTCATTTCATATGGGGCTATAGGTGCCGGGCCAAACCTCTCCATCCCACATAAAAACTGGATCTGAAAGGTAGCATATTCTTGGAAGGGGAAAACAGAGAGGGGTTCTGGTCACAGTCATGCCATGAAGATCCGTGAAGAGGAAAGCAGAGCCTGAAGAAGACTTTGTTACTGTGCCGTTACTGTTCACACAGTACAGAGCAAGGATAACGTGTTACGGAGTTTGAGTCAACTGTTTCCCCAGGCTGTTATCACTCCACAAAAGGATCTCTGCTCCAGAATATGTCATACGTCTGGTCAAGTCTGAAACAGGAATGGCACCAAATTCTGCTGCCCCTCCCTTTTGACTCGTTGCTTCCTTTTCCACTTTGCCTTTTTGTGATCCATAGTAAAGGTAAAGGTTCCCTTGCTCGAAAGCCAGTCGAGTCCGACTCTAGGGTTGCGGTGCTCATCTCTGTTTCCAAGCCGAAGAGCCAGCGCTGTCCGAAGACGTTTCCGTGGTCATGTGGCCGGCATGACTAAACACCAAGGCGCACGGAACGCTGTTACCTTCCCACTGAAGTGGTACCTATTTATCTACTTGCAATTCCTTGCTTTCGAACTGCTAGGTTGGCAGGAGCTGGAAGACGGGAGCTCACTCTGTCATGCGGCACACTCGGGTCTCGAACTGCTGAACTACCGACCTTCCACAGCCTGCAGTTCAGCGTCTTAACCACTTGAGCCACCGCAGCTCCTTTTGTGATCCATACCTGCCAGTTTATTTTTATTTTCCCCCCATTACACGTATGCAACTTAAACGCGATTCATGCCTCGATTCCATATAAATGGTGTAAAAAAGAGTGCCTGTACGAGAAACATTTCCACGAGAAGCCCAAGCGCAGAAGACGGAAGGTAATAGAAGGGGGACCACGACTATACCTCCGGCCTTCCCTTCAGTGTATGAGCCCTTCACGCTGAAACACGTAGAGTTGTCTCCACCACACACCCTGCAGGCATCCATCTTCTTCCCGGAATTCATCTTGCCATCGCACCCCAAAACCTGAGCAAACACAAAGAACAACCGGCTTAAGTTGCTCCTGGGACTGACAAGGCCTCATGATGGAATGGAGCAAGGAAACGCCGCCCAGCTGCAGCACAAACACCACACAGTGCAGTGCTTTAGTATCGGGGTTCCCAATGTGGTGTGTCTGTGGGCACTATGGCATCCACCAGCACCTTTTCCGGGCACCTGCCAGGAGTTTCCTGACTGGCCAATGGAGTTTTGATCAGCTGCGCAGATTTTAGAAAACTTTGCTCTGGCAGCTGCTGCCACCACAGCCCAAGGATCTTCCCTGTGTGACTGAAGGCAAGACGTAGCAGCCGTTTTGTGGCTGGCCCCATCTCCTGCAGCAGGCATTCCGTGGCTGGGTCCACCCTACTACGTTAGAATTCCAAAGGTACCTGCAGGCTAAAAACCCGTTAGGGACTCCGGCTTTAACACCAACCAGCAGGCGAAAAGTTCTGTAGAAAAGTTTGTGTGTGTGTGGGGGGGCCCCTCTGTCACTCCCATTCCATGCAAGAGGTGTGGCCTGAAAGATACATCATGGGATTCACACCAAGCCCCTCCTCCCTTCCCTTTCTGTCGTCTCCCCTATACAAATGAGGAAGATGATTTCCTCATCAGAGAATCTGAAGAAGTGAGGCCTGACTCATGAGAAAGCCAATGCTGGAATCAACATTTTAAGCCCGGGGGTGGTGGGCACGGCACTGGAGTCCCGTCATATTCTGCCTCTGAAAGGCCATCTTCCTTACCATGCAGGTGCCTGCCACGCACAGGGCGAACACCTCTTCATCTCCCCGAACGCCTCGCACACACCTTGTGCCGTCTATGAACTGCTCCCCTCGACTCACCATGAAGTCCTTCCCACGTGCCCTGCACACGTGTTTGCACAGCAGGTCTCCTGAGGGGAGAAAGGAGAACGGGTAGGACAGGGTCGGTAGAGCAGGAAACATGTCTGAGGGAGGCCTTCCTGTTTCCACAGTTAAACAAGAGCCACCAGTGGAGCTGCCAAACAGACAAACTGCCTCCCCGACCTCTGTCCTTTGCACCGAGAAGGGCCAGGCAGGTACACCTGAAAGCACAGAGGCCAGGCCTGAGGGAGGGAGCCCTCCCCTGCTGCCCGGCTCCCCAGCCCGCCACACGGACACTCTGCCTCTGAGCCCGGAGGTGCCATGATGGAGCCACTGTGGCCGTCCTCCTGCATCACTGTGTCCAAATCCTATCTCAGGCCACCGAAGGCCAGCCCAGTCTTCTTAGATCTCAGAAGCTCAGTGGGGTCGGTCCGGGTGAGGGGAGATGGTGGCTCTCACCCAGCTTGCCCCACCTGGGTTCTCGGTCCTTCACCAATCACGGACTAGGGGGTGGGGGGGGAGTGGCTATCTTCATTCGGGAGGTTTACTCCTTCAGGGCGCTCCCAGCAGTGGAGATCGCCGGCGCGGAGTGTGTCGGCTTGATGCTGGAGGCTGAGGAGAGTTTGGCGATCTGGTTGGTGTACCGACCGCCTAACGCACCGGCCAATAGCCTGCCGTCCCTGCTGGAGGCCGTATCAGGCTGGGCATTGGAGCAACCCTAGGCTGATTGTCTTGGGTGACTTTAACGTCCATGCCGAGGACGTGACCTCCAGCCGGGCTATGGACCTAGTGTCATCCATGGCGGCACGGGGAGTCCCTCGATTCGTCTCGGCTCCCACGCATCGGGCCGGTCACATGCTCGATTTGATCTGTGCGGCTGGGGTGACGGTGGACCGGATTACTGCAGAGGCTGTACCATGGTCGGACCACCAGGCCCTGAAGGCCCGTCTGAATGTTCCACCCCGACCTTGTTTAGGCGGCGAGCGGATTTTTGTTTGCCCGCGGGGCCAAATGGACCTTATGCGGCTCCAGATGGCCCTACAGGATCCGAGGCCCCCTGGCGGCTCGTTGGATGAGCTGGTGGAGGACTGGCATGCCCGGCTCTCCTTAGCCATTGACAAGATCGCTCCCAGGCGCCCTCTCTGCACTCGTTCTAGGCGAGCGCCCTGGTATACCCAAGAGCTGCGTCAGCTGAAGCGAGAACTGAGACAGCTAGAGAGACAGTGGCGTCATGCTCGTGATGAGGCATTAAGAGCATCTTATAGGACGTTTATGAGATCTTATGAGATGGCATAGGAGCTGCGGTGGCTCAAGTGGTTAAGACGCTGAACTGCAGGCTGTGGAAGGTCGGTAGTTCAGCAGTCCGAGACCCGGGTTGCCACATGATGGAGTGAGCTCCCGTCTCTAGTTCCAGCTCCTGCCAACCTAGCAGTTCTCAAAAGCAAGACATTGCAAGTAGATAAATAGGTACCACTTCGGTGGGAAGGTAACAGCGTTCCGTGCACCTTGGTGTTTAGTCATGCCGGCCACACGACCATGGAAACGTCTTCGGACAGCGCTGGCTCTTTGGCTTTGAAACGGAGATGAGCACCGCAACCCTAGAGTCAGACTCGACTGGCTTTCGAGCAAGGGAACCTTCACCTTTACTTTTTATGAGATGGCAGTCAAGGCTGCAAAGAGAGATTTCTATGCGACCAGGATTGCATCTGCTAGCTCACGCCCGGCCCAATTATTTAGTAGTATTCAGTCTTTGACGGCTCTGCCACAAGGCAGGCAAAATGTTAGGGAATTGGACATTGGCTGTGAGGTTTTTGCGTGCTATTTTGCAGATAAAGTCCTGGCGCTCCACCGTGACCTCCCTGCCACAATTGAAACAGTGAGCGAACTTGGG